GCGAAAAACATGACGCGTCGCGACGCTTCGACTCTGCGCCAATGTGAGTTGAGCCTAATGAGAATATTATATATAATAAACAATACTTCCTTAACTGTAACAAATGTATTTAACGGCTTATTTATAACGCATTGACAGTAATAACGAATATTAACCATTTGCAATTCATATGATAAACATCTTTTAAAGAGTGTATTTAGAAAATTTTACACTTAGTTTTTAGTCGCAGTACAGCTCCTTATGAAAGAGTTCGTTCAGGGAAGTACTGCCGCCTTACTTATTTCTGCAGTAATCTGAGCATCGGATACATGTTATTATTGTTATAGTTTTATTGGTTCTCCATACAAACTTTCGTCGCCAATTACACCCTCTTTACTGTTTATTTTTGTGACAAAAATAGCCTATGGTTTTCTCGTAGGTTCCGTATATCTTTATACCAAAAATCATCAATATTTGTTCAGCTGTTTAAGCGTGACAACGTAACAGATAGAATTTCTTTCACATTTATAACATTAGTATGGATCATAGTTTCCCAAAGTGGTCCTTACCTCGCGCTAGTGGGTGCAGAAGAGTCCTAGGAAGGCGGTAGGGGTCCTCGGAAGCAATTGGGTGGCGCTGATGCAGTCCAGGAGGTGCTACCGCATTTGAAAAAACTACACTAGAATTGACTATATAAACTAACTATAAATAATTTTTTTTTCTTGTGATTTTTGTGTTTAGTTAAATATAAAATACGTATTTTCAATTATTTTTTGTGGTGGTGGGCGTTGATTTTTTTTATCTTACCTAACTGGGCGGTGAACTAAAAAGTTTGGGAACCTGTGGTATAGATTATTGTTTATACTATACATAGTACCCCTTGACATTTTTTTTAATTATGATATTGTGACATTGTTAATAAATATGAAATAAATGATTCTGTTCTATATTTTACAGACCCACAAACAAAGATGAGATGTGCAACTTCTACCTTATGTACTGGGTGGAGAATGACACTCCTCTCGAACAAAAGTACTGCTTCTCCGTTGGACCTCCTTACTACGATTGGTCGGTTGCCCCTGAAGCCTTCAACACTATTCCGGACAGGGAAGCTAGCATTCTGTAAGATGTTAGTACGGTTCTAGGGCTACTGTTGTGACGTTCACTAGAGGACGTTAACAAAAAAAGATGATTTTTATCAACAAAATTTATAATGAAATGAATACACCCAACAATAAGTTTCAGTGGTGCGTCATATTGTATGTAAGACTAGAGTTTTTGTAAAAACATTGTAGTTTATCACAATGCCGTCAACGTTTTTCATTGTATTTCATGAAACTACAAATGGTTAATTTCTTAACGTTAATAGATTATTTAGTTTAAATAAAAAACTATTATATAGAATTATGTACGTCACATCCGGAATGTATATAAAAACACAAACACCTTTTTTTGTTAGTATTGTCCGCTGTCGGCACTGAATAACTGCTAAAATATGGAAAGCATCCTTTTACGCACGGCCTAACTGAAACACCCGAGTCAACATGTGGTCGCCATTTTGACTCGATAAACTATACCTCTAACGCCCTCTAGTGACGTGTACGTATATTAGCCCTATTACAAAAAATATTCAAGGTTATTTGTTAAATATTAAAAACAAGTTTACATTGAATTGGTATCTAAACAAATTTAATTTAAGTTTTTTTCTACCCTACGTTAGCTATTTAATGCATTGCTATATGCAGAAAAAGTAATGTGCGAGTTTTAAAAGATTGTAGAGGAGAAGTTGTTTGTAAGGTAAACAATTCTTAATATATCTTATATTTTACAAATAACCTTGTACATTAAAGGTTTTCTTAATGAGAAACTAAGCTATGTTAGCCTCTCATAAAAAAACATCAACGCATGTGTCACTTTATGAATTTCTACAAAGAGGTTTGCTAATGATTTTATGGCCATCCAGTAAACCTCAATTATAATATCTATATCAAGTTCTTAAACGGCTGTAAACAGTTATTTAAGAGTATATCTGTAATTTAAATATATAATCGGCTATCTAAGATAATTAGGCACCGTCTTTATTTCCTTGATATTAGATTCAATCGTGCTTAGTTGTGTTAGGTTAAAATTAGCGCACACTGTCGCACAGCACGCATCTATTAGCAGTGCGGAAGGTCGGCAGTTTTTTCGACTAGCAATGTGAACACTTTACTATCCGTACTTAATTTCGAATTTATCTCATAATAAGTATTTTTCAACAATTCATGACCATTGAGAGATCTGTGTAAAATTCCATCAGGATCTGGAATCGAATTGTATTTATTTTTATTCCTATTAGTTATTTAAGTTTATGCAATTGTTTTATGACTTCTGTCTTGATTTTAAATGAAATGGGTAAATATCCAGTATAGATTTAATCTACCGAAATTTATTGAGCTATTTTAGTAGATTAGGTAATTAGATTATGAAAAGAAATTATTTAGGATTAAGCTACAATTATCAGTACGCTTGAAAAACGCTTTCGTACTGATTCGCTATGAAAACGCCTTTAAAAATCTAATTCCATTGGTACTACAAACTTTTGCCGTCAATTGTCGCAAAAATAACGACTGCATTCGAGGAAATAAATCAAAATTAGTAATGTAGTTTTAAGAATAGAGTCCAACTCTTTCAGAATGGGAGTGATTCTGAAGCGTGCTGTCTAATTTAGCACAACCTTTATTTTAGTTGCTTTTAGGCATTCCCATTTATTAGTTTTAGTATCGGAATTGTGGTTGGAAAAAAAGATCTGAAATTATTAAAAAGTATAAGTTTAACATTCCTTTTAGGTCCATAGTAGTGTGTTTTATTTAGGAAATTAATATTTGACTACCAAATTGGTTCCGTACATAAATATAGTGGGCCAATGAACTTAAAAAATAAATCATTGTGTGGTATTTTTTATAAAGAAAGAAGTTAAGCGGGCCATTAACTGAACGTCTAGTAGATTTTTTAAGTTTAGGCCTACTAAAGGGTAATAGCACACCGCGCTGCACAAAAGAAGAACTCCATTAAAATTCACACGATTTGTTTCGTTTTTTTGTTAGCATTGCGCGAGTTTCAGAGGTAGATGTTTATTGCAACGATTTTCTTTAGGCGATTCTTTGCTTGCAATGGACACTGCCATCGTTTTCGAGTACGGAACCGGTACTTGTTTATATTATTATTGGGTAAGTATGAGAGTTTTACAAGGAGATTTAGTACAACTGGAGGTTTTAGGTTTTATTAAAAACTCAATTTGAAGCTTCCTTAAATCAACAGTACCACCAAATTAAAAAAAATAATAATTCTATCATTTGTTTAAAAATAAGTACTGAACTTTGCATACTATTTTTAAGGTCCGGTCTTTCGGGGTTATTCGTTTACAGAAACAGTCGAATATAATAATTTTTGAGAAAAATCTATATTCCGGAACAACGTCCCTTAAAATCGAGGTTCATGTATTCAACAAATACGGGTACGACGTTCTGACACGGACAATTCAAATACAGAACATAATTGTGTAACCTTAGGTGTATGTAATATGCAGAATTCGGTATAGGCAGAGTTTAGAAGTAATACACATAGTGAATAGCTCATTCTGATATCCCGGAATGATTGTATGGTAAATGATTATCACTAATATGAGGTTTCTTACCACGGTATGACTTCTTTTTATTTTCCGGATATTTCGGAGCGGTTGCACCCTCCATGGTCACGGGTTGACTGGACGGCGGCAGAAGACAGCTTTAAGAGCAGACATATCTGTCTACCCTCTTGCGCTATCGACTATTACCTTCATTGCGATTTGTTGTAGCGTTACCATTGTCACTCACTATTTTCACACAAACCACACTCACTGTATCCACACGCGAAACTGAACTCGAGGTGTTTTTGTTTTTATTACTGCACGCACTAAGGACCGGATTCCATGCACTGGACAGTTTAAAACCATCATCACGGTTAAATGTTTTGTACTTCGTGATTTTGTTTTTAATGTGTAACTGGAAGATACTTTATTTCTGTAGTGTATTTAGAAGGAAAGTTTTATAATGGTAATTTAAAAAAAAATTGTTTTAAACATTCCAGGAAATCAGAGGGAGATATTATCCACTCTATGCGTATAACTTGAAGTTTATTTAAACATACTCTAACTATTCCAATCATTGCTAATATGTTACCTTAAACTTTTATTTAAAGCCGGGTACGAGGAAATTTTTTATTTGAAAAATAATACAATAGGTTAATAATATATTCGTCAACTTCCGTAAAACTCGACTAGTTCCGAAGCGAGTATTTAAGAAATGCTACTGTATAAGCGATATCATATAAAATACGAATATCGCTTCTGCACCTAGAGATGAAATGATTCCCGTGACATTTCGGACAGTAATTTCTCTTATTCGGAACTGACACGAATCGAATTTACTACGCAAACGCTCTTAGTACCATTTATATCACAAGTTGGTGGTTCAGAAATAACACAGATGTACTAACTCTCGTTGTGAATACACTTATACGTTTAAGTCAGTGCAATTAAGGATTTCAAATCAATTACAATTATTATGCTTATTGCATGAATTGTTATAATTTTGAAACCACTATCATTAAGACTAGTTAAATGTTAATTATAAGATAATATATTTTTTGAATTTTATCGTCATAATAAGTGAAATTGTGTGTATGGTAGTGTAGTGTTCCTTCATACACCTCTAGTCAATATGAGACAAAAAATTATGCTATACACGGTTATTTTTAAAATACTAAAAACCTCGCAGGACTATAGTACTAACATCATAAACAATCACTTTAGTTCCGTGACTTTTGATAATGGAATTAAACGGAAACGGTGATAACTCTGTGCAAAACGCAGGAGCGCGTGGGGATCGCAGGGGCGGATGTTTGCACATTTCAACTTATCACGCGGGTCTTGCGTGATAATGAGGGTAACACTCGGTCCATATGAATTTTATTGTAAGAAGGTAGAAAGAACAAAGTAAGGAAAACCTGTAACAAAAAACAATGCTATAAAAACGCAGGTAATACTATAAAACACTCCCTAACTTAAATTACTTACGGATATGCTTATGGATGAATATAAAGTAGACACTTACCTCAAAAGGGCCTGTATTCCTATGTATTGCTGCTTTACAAGCAGTTAGGTTTACATGATTGAAGGACACGTCTTTTCTCTTCGAGAATTTTATGAGTTACGACGGAATGAAGCGAAGTAAGAATGAGAAGAAAAAGAATTGGAGAACGATTCAAATTTTCAAAAGTAAGTGGCCAGGAACCAGAGAAAAGGGTGATAAAAAGGCGGGATGTCGATGAAGCGTGACACACAAGAGAACGTGTCGGGCGCGTGGCGGGTCGGGAACTCGGCGGGTGTAATTCCGTGTATTTATATGGACGACAACACACGACGTATGGGCGCGAGACGGGCACAGGTCGGGTCCTCCGCCCGACCCGACACGCGCCCGATTCACACCCGCTGTAAGTGTGTTTCACGCTTGAAAGAGGCCGCATCGTTACAAACTTACTATACTACTGGCAAGTACAGATCTAAAAAGTGTCAGATAGTTATAACAAAAGCTTAACAGTTTATATTAAGGTGGTGGCGCCAGTATACGACAAACACCACTGTTCGACATATTTTTTTCAGTTCATTTCTAATAAGATTTAGGACAACATTTTCTATCATACTAACACGTTTCTTACTTATAAGTGTTAATTACTGGGTGTTAATTACTGATGAGTGTTAATTATTGGAGAATTAGAGATATTCTAGTTTAGGTTTCTTTTTAGTAATAATAGCTTTTTTATGAAACTTACTACAACATAATCTTTTTGAGGATTATATCTGTCAAGTAAACTAATCACTATTGACATATATGTTAAAAACAAAAAAGTTATTTCAAATTTAAAGACAAACTTCCCTTAAAATATCTGTCGTTGGTATCATTACTCTATTATGTTTTGTAAAAAATCATGGAACAGAAGTTATTGTCTATGATGTTAGTAATATAGTTTTGAGAAGTTATTAGTATTTTACAAATTATATTGTATATAATATTCCTTTATACCCAGTATGTTCTGTTAACAGTACATAATATTCAAGGCGTTAATAGTACATAATGACAGCTTAGAAATAAAAACAGATGGGGCTGCGTCAGTGGGTGCCGACCTTAATTAACGTAAAACATTTACGTTGATCGGTTTCTGTTCAAATTTCTATTCACGGTACCCATAAGCATATATTTCTCTTTAATATTAAAAATACTTCACGTCAAACGTTCATATATTTAATATATTTGCTAAATCGCAAGTTGTATACTGCCCTCCTTACAATAACTAACGTAATCGAAATTTTTAACGAAATGAGTTATGAACATAATATCTGGGGTCACTGAAACCTCCTCTTCTAGAACCTCCTCTGATCGTCCGATTAAATTTACTTTCAGTATTAATGTTTTGTAAAATCGGCGTAGGTAATTGAGATTTTTTTACTAGCAAAAAAGTTTAGGAGTCAATATCTCGAAAGTTGACAGAAGGATAGAAGTATAGAAGTTGACATGTTACAAAATAACTATAGTTTCATTATGTCTAGCCAAACAATAGGCATACAAACATTTTGAATTATACATTTACTTACATGCGGTTCAACAGACCAAACTAGGTGTAACATCTTTTTTTATAATATCACATGGGTATGCATACACGGATTGCATAAATGAGTCATAAATTTAAACAAGGTGATAATTATTTTGGTAAATTTCTATGATAATAATTGTCAAATGTAACTAGATGTCAGATATGCAAATCGTTGGTTTTCTTGTACAGTGGCTATCTCAAAAACACCAAATCCTTCAAGAAGATGTTTTAAAAATTAGCAGACGCGCTTCTGACACGCCAAGCCGACGAATCGTACGAGCCCAAAATTTTGAAGTGGTTATTTTAACCACTTCACAATTTTTTCTAAATACAGCTGTGCAATAAGTCGAAATTTATGTATTTTGTTTTAAGCCACTATTCTTGTAGCGAAATGTCAAAAAATAGACAATAAAGTTTGAAGAGTTTTATAGTTTTAAAATTGGGACGCTGTATAGTATATCTTATAAGTTGTTTAATTGCTTTTTAAATAGCATAAGGTTTTTTCAGACCTTACTTATTTCGGTCAATTGTTGGCGCCATTAAAAATATACTTACTTTTTATTATTTATTCATAGAACATTGGCTACAGAGCTATAAGCTTACATTGTAATATTTAATTAAGAAATTCAAAACTAAAGCAATATTCGTGTAAAAACTACAAAAGCCCGCCACTTCGGAAAGCCCATTACTTTCACAAAAATACTTACGTTACGAAAGATATCGGTCAACTTCAACGTTTCACGATATACCGCCGGCCGCGCGCCCCAACACAGCCTCACACGAATTATATAAATAGCCAAAAATATTATCAAACAATAGCTCGACCTAACCTGAATCCATAATTTACTAGATATCTTAGATATGTATATATTTTCAAAGTAAATTTGTGTAAAAAGAAATATATATTTCTAACAATTTTACTGTATATATTATGTACATTATCAATTAAAATATCAGACTGTCTCATAATTTCAATATAGAATGAAAGCATTGTCCAGAAGTTACACATTCCATCGCTGGTTGCAGATCTCAATGTACTTAAATTTTGTATCATATGTTATTCGTCATCTGTGTATGTTTGAAAATTGAAAACTTAGCATTGGGCTGCTCTTAGTCGATAATTTCGATCTCCTAGAAAGTCCGGTCTCCTAGAAAGTAAAATTATTAATACAAAGATCGAGCACAGAAAATTTTCTTCGATTTGACTCGAATCAAAGGGCAAGACACTAAGTTGAGTTCAGTCAGATAGAAGGAATTTTCTTCTTTCGGTGTTTGTGTCAAGAATAATAATAACAAACTAGTGGAGTATTTTCACAAAAATATCTGTACATGGAGAAGTAAAGGGCCTTTAGTCCACATTTTGGCGTTTAGATATTTTTACACACATTGCTTAAGGATACAAAAATCACGCAATGGTAAAAGACATTAAGTCCTTTCGTCATTTGTTTTTTATTAAACATATTTTATTTGACCTTAAGAGCCTGTGCACACAGCGTATTTTTACGCGCCGCAAATGCGCGTCATCTGCGCGTATACGCGCGCCGCAGACGTACTGTAGTCGCGTGTATGTATCGCGCGTTTTGATAAAAGATAGTTCTAATTTTACTTTTGTTTGTTCATTTCAGTTACTTTTTTTTTAAAATGAAGCAACTATATGAAATTGTAAGTGTAAACTCCAGTGGAGTATATAAGCTTCTTGCTTGCAACGCGTTGTTTGCGCGCGTTCACGGCGCCGTGTGCATAGACTCTAAGATTGATTTTAAATGCCTAATGTTTCTACATTAGGCCTCATTCAGTTTAAAACACTCTGCAGTAAAAATTACTGTTTGGCACTTAAGATTCTTTACCTCTCACCTACAGATATATGAAAATTATGGAAGTAAAACATCACGATATTCAATAAATAAATACTCCACTCTTATGCCATTGACATATTATTTCATCTGCGTAAGGGAAGGGCATGGAATACTTCCGGCGTCTGTGTTTCCCGAAAGCTACAATTTAGGGATATTAAAGAGCGATTAGGCATATATTTAACAAACGCGTAACACCGTTGGCCACAACGTCGCTTGACATCAGGTGGACTTGTGGCCATGAATTCGTCTATTTTACATTTTAGTAGCAGCTCTTTGTATAGTTCGTTCAGGGAAGTACTGCTACCTTACCTACAGCTGTAATGCTCACATTATCGCGTTTTGGTTTTGAAGGCAAGGGCACTGGTGAAACTACAGTATGACGGACTCAGTGACTGTGTCTTTGCGATTTAAAGCTATAGTCTACACAAAATCTCATGGAATTTCATTAGTTAGTGACAAAAATGAGCTCGAACTGTTTCTACGGTTACTTGAATTATTGTAAAAAATATTGTATTTTCTTTACAAATATAACTACTTACATGAAACGAACATTCCTCGTGCATTTTAGAGATTATTTATTACGTTTTATCTTTTGATGCCAATGAGTAGTCGCACATTCACATAGTAATAATCAATGTATAGAAATATATAGGTAGTTTAACTACGTATTTGTCTATAATTTTCATAATGTAACTAAAATAAATAAAAAAACATTGACAGCTAAACGTATTACTCCAAACAAATATACTGTAGAAATGTATACAGTCAAAATAACTATACTAACGACAATGGCTTTGAAAATCGGACTTGAGCTGTAAATAAATATGATGTAAGAGAATATTTTCTATAAATAATATATTGTTATTATATATTGTTTAAACGTGTACCTATTCAGAAGCTTTAGCGTTTAATTTTCATTCACAAAAGTTTTCGTATGCCCTTTTTTCGTCCATTTAAGGCTGTGTTCTTGTATTTCCTCAATCAGCCATTAAGTGTATTTTCAAACTATGCGTACAGTTGTCGCATCGACGTTATATTCGCGTCTAAGTGTATGCACTGCGCATTCTAAGTTCTTATGTTCATTCTGAATTATTGTTTTATTGTCAGGAAGACCATTTGCTAATAGTGACACGTTTTAGAAAATAACAAAATTATGAGTGAAGATACTATGCAATATCAGATTGTTAACCTGTCACGCTTCCTAGAGACACGGTATCTATATCATAATCGTCAGAAACATTTTTGTATCTCTAAGACGATGACGAGATGCGTAACAGGTTAATATAGGTACAATTAAATATGTACAATTCTAAAACCTACGGTAAGTCTTCAACAACATTTAATGTGTAGTCAAATACCACACGACCATGATTGTCGCATGTGTTTCACATGGTCCTATTATTTATGAACGTCACGGCGTTTACTACTTCTAGAAATTTTTGATTGTCTATTTTCTTTAGTGTTATTCTTTGTTTTATGCTACATATCGCAGAAATATGGCGAAATTTCCAGAAATATTAGAACAACATCACAGAACACTTGCTCTACGGTCGAGCGAAGCATAAAACGCTTCGTATATAGCTGGGAAAATTAAAAAAAATTAAGTCGTAAATTGAAAAATATCTCAGTGCACACCATTAGAAAAATTATACCTAGAATAAGTATTGTGTGAAACACAACATAAACACCCTTATACATTTTACAAAAATGTATTTATAAATAAGTGCATAGGTGCCAAAATAGACCAATGTTTGTGAGATGTTTTATGTCGCAATTTTGTATTTGTTTTAGTTTACATACTACCGGTTTTGGTTAATTACCAAAAATCTATCCCATTAATCCTAAGGCTAGCTAATACTGACATTTTTAACTTAATTTCACAATAAAGGGTGTTTTTATATTGTCTTTTATTGCTTAAGACAAAATCAAATGCTTTACGCTGCTTTTAATTTGATTAAGTAATTAAATTAAAATATTTTTCTTATTGAATATGAAAAAGTATTTTAATTTAATCGAAAACTACATACATTTTTCCAGAGGATAGGGAACTTTTTAACTAGCTTAAAGATTTTATTCAAGGACAGAACTTACCGCTCTCCCCTCAATTAAAATGCCGGACGCTGGAGCGGTAGCGGCAGTCTAACTTTTCTAGTTAGTGTGGAACATGAACGAATACACTCAAATGTAATCGGTGCAGTGTTAGGGTTGTCTTTTAGTGTAACTTGAGTCCCACTAATTAAATTAAATTTAATATATATAATAATTCAATAAATAACCGCTGCTCTTTTAGTGTGACTTGAGTCGCACTAAAAGAGCAGCGGTCAGAGAGGCACTTTTGGTGCAAAATATTGCTTAGCATTTTGATTCTTATCTTCTAAAGAAAAAGGGTTCAAATTGACTTGAAATTATAGAATTTATAGAGCGGCACCGTGCTAGCGTCCTCCGGCCGCTGCCCTCTGCTCTTTCAGTGTGACTTGATCCTTAATGCACCTTAAGAATGTAGCCCGTACCGTACTTGCGCCTGCACCCGGTATTTTCATTGAGTCAGAGACCCTAGCATATTTTTCATACGTTTCCAGAGATCCTACACTAAGTTATATAAAAATGAGATGTTAATCATTTTACGGAACATGTATCGATTAATACATAACAAATGTTATTACATGACAATTAAACTGGTCGATTTTGTTCGCTACCTATGTACAAAAATTATATTTAATATAAGAACTATCAGTCAAATATAACGTCTTATATATGTACCATATCGATGAGGCTAAAAGCGTAGTATATTTATGTAATATCTATATTCTTACCCCTTTAGGGTTGGACCACACTTGTCGGCACGCTACATCGTTGCGTACATACTAAGCGTGTATTTTATATGGTATATTATTGATTACCAGATGGAGAGATATTCCCCACAACCTGATTTCTCACTGACGTTTAGGGCGTCATGCAGAATAAATTTCTCGCTGTTGAGTCTCGTTGTGAGGCAAAGTCCCAACAATTTTCTGATTGCTTTTGCATTGAATTTAAGTGGCCTTTTTAAAATTTTGGATAGAGCAAATTCAGAGCGTTCCATATTTGGTATAAATTTTGTTTTGTTTAGGAACTGTATTGTATTAACCTTATTCTAAGGTTTCTTTCTTTACTAACATACAATTTATTTTTTTTGGTCCAAAATAAAAGTGTTATTAGTGTAAAAGCAATTTTGAAGCGTGCAAACTGGTGGGGTTCGACCTTTACATCTTTTTGCATCTACGACCAATTTGTATTATTTTTTTGCTTACCGTGCCTAAATACCTAATCGTTTACTTTACTTCTTTCTCGTTGCGCATTCGATACGTGATTTTTGATCGTTCGTGTGCCCGAGTCATTATTTATTTTTAAGTACGGTAATTATTTTCGGACTATATTTCACTGTACTACTTATTTAATAAAATATTTTATTTAATAATTTGTTAAGCTATTATTACAAAATTATACTGAATCGCACTTGCTATTATACAAGAAAATGTAATTATCGTTAAGTAATTAGAGGTGTTTATGTGACAAAATGAAAAATAAATATACCCTATACTATTTTGAACGTTTTTATCATTTCAATTCTTATCTAATTCCTCGTACGTTCAATATTCACTTGTTATACATTATTTTGTACAAATAGCACAGTAAGGCCCACTGACGGGATGGCTCGGCTGTGGGCCTTACTGTTAGAGGATCCTTCAGCATCAATGATAGTAATTATGCCGCGGCATCCCCCGGTACGGCGCAGTGTCCCCAAGTACGACGCGGCATCTTTAAACATACCTACGCGTCCTTAGGCATGCCGAAGCATCCATCCGAATCATCCCAAAGGCTGTCAAAGCATCCCCAAGGCTATCGAAGCATCCCCAAGGCTACCGAAGCATCCCCAAGGCTACCGAAGCATCCCCAAGGCTACCGAAGCATCCCCAAGGCTGCAGAGACATTCTGGAGATTGCCGACGGCAACGGTACATACTGCAGTTTTATGTTGCAGCTACGATCATTATCATTGAAATTAAAATACTGAATAAACTTAAAAAAATGTGAAATTATTTAACTATGAAATTTATGAACAGACACTATGCGTTCCTTCATTTCTCCATAGAGGGCGCAACGTTTGTTATAGTAAAACAGTAGAAATCTTAAAATGTACTAAACAGTATACTAGTCACTGTTTCACCGGAGGTGTAATATGTTGTCCGTAGTTGATTAAAATTCAGGTTACTTAAATAGCCCATAGGAAAGAAGGCGTTCTTGTGTATAAAAAATACGTAAAACGTTCACAATTTTATCGACACGCAGGTGGCTTCTCGATGCATGTTTAAATTTACGGTTAGTGAGAGCTATTGCTGCTAAATAAACAAAACGTAATAATAATTACCTTATCGTCGGGGATAGCGCAATTACGCGTAACTCGCATTTTATTATCAGTTTTCATTTTGTTAATTTAGTAGCTAAAACCCGCGTAAATGTCGTGGCAATGAAATTAACGTGATTTAAGGAAATCTGTTGTTATTGCTGTGCAAAAATGTAAGTCAGCCATTTTAAACAACAAAGTAATAAAGTTAGATAAACACTTTATTCACTGATATAACACAAATACAGATTAAGCATAAAAAAAACAAAACATGATTGTCATAGCAGTGAAACGGCGCAGACTCAGCATATGCCAAAGTTTCCTAAGGCGCTGGTTTCCAGTCAGGACCAACGAGAGGGATTAAATTATTTGAAAGAAAAATGTAACGACAATGCGTAAAGTAAAGTGCGTCTAAAATAACCTGTTTGACATGTAAGTGCATAAGCGAATGTAAATATATTATTACAGCTGTAGGAGTAAGTTGTGATTGTAAAGAGGTTTTGATGTTGTGTAATGTATTTAGTATGTAATATAATTATACACATAATGTGTATAGATCAAAGCAACAATAAAATTCGATTCAAGAGAGACTACGTTAAAGAATAAAAAACACTACACAGATTTTTGAAGTAGGAATAGGTGTCGCCGGTACAGTGCTTTGAATTTGGGTTTGGATGTCTCGTTTCGTATAGGTGGTGGAATATTATTCCAGCACTTTAATCTTCAAGTTTAATCGTTCTCCAGTAAAATTTGATTTAATGCAGATACGCGCCTTTTACCAATACTTCATACGCGGATTTACACTATCCCCGACGTTATATAAGTAGTCCCACGCGTGGGCATAGGCCTCATCTCACAGTGAGGAATTGGGAACTTCACACATCATTAAATTGCTTTGCAGATGCGTGGAAATTTCCTCACGATGTTTCCTTAACCGAAAAGCTCAAGGTAAATTCCAAATTTTGAAAATTCTGTGGTGCAAAACCGTATTCGAACCCACCGCCTTTCTGCTTGAGAGGCGGTATGTCAAGCCGTTAGGCTACCACGGCTATTATGGAAAGCTAGAAAGTTTCCGCTTTTCCATAATAACAAATAAAATTAGGTTGGTTATAATTTTTATTTTCTTAAAAAAATACTTTAAATCGCTCTTCTGTAATATTTTCCAAAGGCACGTTAGACGTTTTATCTTTCCGGGGTCAATACCGTTTCATGTGTATATTATATTAGCAGATTTTTTGCCTTGGTATTTAACAGTGGCATCGAAACCAACATTATTATTATATCGTGTTATTGGTTGAATCTTTCTGTTTGATACACTCAAACCCAAATCAATAATATGTAAATATCGAGCATATAGTCTAGTCTAGTGTAATTTGCTAATAATATCTTTATATTTGTCTTTACATCAAGCATATATTTCTGGTTATGTACTCGATGTCTTTATAAAGGGTTTTTTCAACAAGAACTTTGTTTTGTAAATCAAAATAAAACAATAAACTTAGATGACAATGATTCAAATTTTTATTGTATTAAAAAAAGTTTTGGCAATTATGAATGAAAAGTGATATCTGATAAATGTCCAACACGACCACAGTTACAGATGTCGATTCTGTCATCAAAGTTTTGAACTTCGTTTTGACAAAATGGTCTATTTCGTTAATCACTTCACGAATTTCGAGTTTTAAGGCTGCAATCGATTCGATTGGCTCCTTAAAGACTCTGTCATTAACATAACCCCATAAAACAATAATCCAGCGGTGTTAAATCACATGATCGAGCTGGCCTCTTAACGGCTGAATTTCGTGAAATTGTGCGATCGGGAAATCAATAAATTAATTGTTTCGGTGGCTGTATGACTTTTATTATACATATAATGCCACCACGGCTATATGGAAAACTAGAAAGTTTCAGATTTGTAACATAAAGGAATCGGGTATATGTTTCAGTTTTTTTACTTATAATATAAAGACATAGAGTATATAACCAGAAATATATACTCGATGTCTTTATATTATAGGTGGCAAATTACACTACAAATCGTCAAATTGATAAACTCTACTAACTCGTACGGCACGAGAAGAATGAGTAAGAAACTGTAGATGTTGCTCTTTATAAATAAACATTTATACACATTGCAATGTTTATTTCAAATGTCAGACCGAGACCCGCTAGAGCTAAACAGGTGACTAGCATGGTTCTTTATTATCGAAGTGCACAGAAGCAATATCTAGGTATATAGTCTTTGTTTCACTTTAGGTTTAAACCTCGTAAATGGCAAATTTTGAATTACAACCAGAAAACTTATTATAGAAGTATATTACCTGTACACTACCTTTTAAATGAACTTGAGACTATGAAGACGACTGCCAAGAATAGCTTAGGTTAGTGTAGTTTCAAGTTATCTGTAGAAGTGTAATTCTATTACAATTTTTGTGGTATTGTCCAAGCTCACAAACAAAACGTTCGTTTTAAAAAATGTCAGTTGCCGTATAATATTGGTACTACGCTGGGGCGTACCCCCGCAGCGTGTACCCCCTGCTTTGGCGCGCGTGGGGTGGGAGTATGCTGACGTATGGAATGCACATTCCGTACGGAATTCTTTCAACAATGTTTATTGCAAATGTTATGGGATTAGTAAACTAACATCTTATATATTATTATAGTGCAAATTGATTGTAGCCATAAAATCATCCACCAGTTATGTCATGACCATGGGACCTGTAAAAAGTTTT